GATTGTTGAGTTTAGTTGGTTTGAATAAGTCATTGTTCTTATTATTGCTCAGTAAAATAAGTCYGATTGTTAAGGACATTAGTGGCTCAGATTTCGTTTTAGTAGCTAAAGACTTAGTCAAGTTTGTTTCCTATTTTTGTGTTCSCTTTACTTTGATTGTAAGGCTATATAGCCGATGGTATTAAGCTAATGAAAGTATCTCTTTTTGGTTCTCTTGCAATATCAAAGTGTTTTACATTCACAGTTTTGAAAGTGACAAATACTAAATTTCTTCACATCTGATTGGTGCCTCTTTTGCTTGGGGATTTATCTATCGAAACGTCACAAATCTTAAGCTAATATTTGAAGGTTTTAGCTTTGACTTGAGAAATTTTAAAAAAATACCATTTTTTAAAATGAGGAATTTTAAAAAATGTCACCTATATTATTAAGAAATTTCCTTATATTATTTATGTTTGGGTTAAATGTGTTGTATTAAGATTTCGTTTTTAGGGTTTAGGGGTTTTAGGGGTCAAAATATTTTTTAGGTTTTAAAATTATAAGATTTAGGTTTTCAAAATTCATAATTAGTGGTATTTTTGCAAATGGACAATCTATAGTGACATTTTTGCAAATAGACAAGCTAAAAATGAAATTTTTGTAATTGTCCCTAGATTATTCAGCTTTTACCTTATTAAAAATTCCAATAATTCGATGACTAAAATCTCGTATATATTATTTGAGAAGTGATGTGTGAGAAAATACTTATATGTTATCTCCACAATCATTTTCACCAAAACGATTATGACATAGCTTAAAAATATTGTGGTATGACAAATTTGAATCATAACAAAATTTTCAAAGACGAAGAAAATTTTGTTAAAAATTTATATTTGTTTTCATGAATAAATCAGAAGAATATTTTAATCAAAATTTTATAAAATTTTCGTTTTCATTCTACATTTATGTAAAAAAATTCGTTTCTCATTTAAAAATAATTTAGAAATTGATTATTAAAATAGTAAAATTCTAGAAAACTTTTTATTGAAGCTTTTTTTTTTGAAATTACTCATAAAGACTTACCAAATTTTTAGAAGAGATTTTAATATGTTTTGTGAAAAAAGTTTCCCAAATTTATAACAACAGATATAATTATTTTTTTGAAATGTTTGTTTTTAGAGAAATTTCAAAAAATGCCACTTTCCAAGTGCCACTTTACAAAAATGCGACACTTTTGAAATCTTTACAAAAATGCCACTTTTTCAAAAAAAAAATTCATTATATAATTTATGTTTGAGTTAACTATGTTATATTAGGGTTTAGTTTTGAGTGTTTAGGAGGTTTTAGGTGTCAAAACATTTTTTAAAGTTTAGAATTTTAAGATATAGGTTTTATAAATCTATAATTAGTGGCATTTTTGTAAATAGACACCCCTAAATGGTATTCTTGCAAATGTGCACACAAAAAGTGGCATTTTTGTAATTGCCCCATGTTTTTAACACAAGACAATTTGAGAGTAACAAAAAACATATTTAAATCCGTGTTTCATTCATAAAATTTATGATTAGATATTTTAATGTTTTAAAATATTAAATATTTTAGAGAAATTTCAAAAATGCCACTTTTCAAGTGCCACTTTACAAAAATGCCACACTTTTGAAATCTTTACAAAAATGCCACTTTTTCAAAATTATTTTTTCTTTATATCATTTATATTTGGATTAATTATGTTCTATTATGGTTTAGTTATGAGGGTTTAGGGGGTTTTAGGTGTCAAAACATTCTTTAGGGTTTAGAATTTTAAGATATAGGCTTTATAAATCTATAATTAGTGGTATTTTTGCAAAGGAGCACCTCTAAGTGGCATTCTTGCAAATGTGCACATAAAAAATGGCATTTTTGTAATTGCTCCAATATTTTATTTGTATTCTAAATTCAATTTAAGATATTCGGACAACCCAAATTTAATATAATTTATACTTATTATACAATTCAAATAAATATGATTTGTACATATCTATTTAACAAATAAATAATCTTTAAACTATTGTTCTGAATAATTTCTATCTATATAGTAAACTTCATATTTTATATATAAATTTATAAACAAATGACAAAAATATTAATGTGAATATTTTTACAATTTATGTAAAATTAAAAAAAAAATGTTTAATCCAAATGTCCAAATTGAATACTGAATCTCACAAAAAAACAATATTGATCTAAAAACTATTTGAATAAAGGATATTTTGATTAAAATGTAAACACAAACCAAAATTAAACAATACAATATTATCCATAGTATATTATTTTCATTTTAGATATTGTTATTCACAAATAAAATAATTCACACGGATTTAACCAAATGGATATTGAAAATTATTAGACACAATGATCACAATGTATTGTAATTTGTTTTGTCCAATTTTCAAGGTATAAAAGAATTTACACACACAATATTAGCAGTTTGGTGGAATGTGTTAAAGGCAAGGTTGACGTACACTACAACATCAACAGAAATAGAAAAAAATTTCAATAGACAAATTTTACTTGGTTATTACGATGTAAAACCGGATCCATAGACCAATTCAATTGTTTTTGTTAACTGAACTGTAAATAAAGGTTGGCAAACAAAAAAATTGTAAATGAATTTATTGTTAATGTTATTAATGAAATTAGAAATAATGCCAATAAACAAAAAAAAAGATATTATTTCATATAAATAAAATTAAAATGAAATCCAAATTGAACATCATTAGTAAGTTTTAACCACGAAATTTTATTTTTACAATTTATTTGATTTTTTAAAAATATTTAATCGCGTATAACGCGGAGAGTCATCTAGTTATGGTAATATTTCGACAATATATCACTAAAAGATTGTCGGAATAATACCATAATAAAATGGACAATTGCAAAAATGCCACTTTTGGTGTGCTATTTTGCAAAAAAATACCACTAATTATGGATTTTTAAAACCTAAATCTTAAAATTCTAAACCCTAAAAAATTTTTTGACCCCTAACAAACCTTAAACCCTCAAAACTAAACTCTAATATGACAGAGTTAACACAAACATAAATAATATAATGAATAAGTAATTTTGAAAAAAAATGGCATTTTTGCAAAGATTTTGAAAAGGTGAAATTTTTTGAAAAGTGGCATTTCAAAGTGACATTTTCAAAATTTCTCATAATAAAATTAGGGGGCAATTGTAAAAATGTCACTTTTTGTGTGCATATTTGTAAGAATGCCACTTAGGGGTGTCCATTTACAAAATGCCACTAATTATAGATTTATAAAACATATATCTTAAAATTCTAAACCCTTAAAAATGTTTTGACCCCTAAAACCCCCTAAACACTCAAAACTAAACCCTAATATAACATAGTTAATTCAAACATAAATTAAATAATGAAAAAATAGTTTTGAAAAAATGGCATTTTTGCAAAATTTTTGAAAATGTGGCATTTTTGAAAAGTGACACTTGGAAATTGGAATTTTTTTGAAATTTCTCTAAAATTAGGGTCTAGTGGAGTACTATTTTTTTTCTTCTTTAAAAGACTAGATTATGGCTCGCGCGATACGCGAATTTTTCTTTTATAATTTTCTTAAGTATAGTGACGAAATTAGTTTTTGTTAAAATGATTATATCATTAAGATCCATCCACTAGACCATGCCTTTTTTTCCCCTTGTGATGATCTGTGTCTGTTTGTTGCAACTTGCAAGTTACAACTACTTCCTTTTGTTTATGTGCCACAACATTTTTACATAAATTCGGATCAAAACCCTCATTTCCCAAACAAACAAAAAATCGATTCTCCAAAATGCACAAAAAGTCTCAAAATTATACGTGGGATCTAGCAGACATGTCATATACTACTAACATGGATCGGGATATTACAGATATTGGTAGTAGTTATCACCAGTTCAATGCCCAACATGTCAACAAATCCTCGCTGCTTTGTTGATGCTTCTTGGACCTCAAACCAAAATCTTATTGGCGTAGGTTTGGTCGTTACATAAATAAAAAAATAAACAAGGTAGCCAAAATCTTTTACGGTTTTTCCTCTTTAAATCATGTGAACTCTCTCCCTTATAAGCCCTTTGCAATTAGTATGGCTGTTTATCAATTCAAACTCTTCACATACACTTATGTTACTTTCCGTGGGGACTATAAAACTTTACTTGATCTTTTACATGAACCAACTCTACATCACAGATTCTGAATCTTGGAAACATCATCTCATTGCCCTTTACATTCGTGATATTATAAACTTGTGTAAATCTATATGTAACGTTCAAAGTGAAGCAAACAATGTGATGTATAGCTGATGTTATAGTCAAAGATTGTATAGGCACTCTGAAAGTCACGAGTCAGATTGAGGAGAGCCGACGGAAATACTCACTGATCTCTTCTCCGGCTTCTAATCCTCCACCACCGCCCGACGACTACTACCAGTGAAAAATCTACTCGAGGAGCCTCTAAAGGAGAGTGCACGCGATGATATACCACGTGAGAGATCCCTCAGCCAGCTCCTGGAACTATCGTGACCTACATTTTCCGCCAAACTCGCTGTCGTAGCTGTAGCCGCGTCTTCGGAGGCAGAGAGAGGAGAGCGGCAGAGAGGACATGTCTGGTTCGAGACGCTGATGCAATCCTCGTGGAAACTGTGAGAACAGAGCGGGAGGTGTCGTACCTTGTCCTCTGGCTCGAACGGCGACAAACAGATGGAGCAATCGCGAGCTGCCGAAGAATCGAGAACAGGGGAGACTCGGCGGAGACGTCGGATGAGAAAGTAGATGAAAATAGTGATGAAGAGAGTGACGAGGAGGGTGACTAAGACGAGGGAAACGCTTAACTCGAGGCTATGGAGAGAAGACGACGACGAGTGAGAAGAATCGATGGGAGGAGGAGGATCCACTGAACGAGGAGATTGAATCATCATCATCTGAAACTACAAGTTTTTTTTTTTAATCATTCGTGTACATATTCAATCTCCATCAAGCTTATTATGATTCATGACTCAAATTACTTGCAAGCATCTGACTGAGTTGCAAACCCAGTCAGGAACAATTAGTCTGGTGTAAAACAGAACCTGTAGAGAAATCAATTTTGTACAATCAGAAAACCAGAACTTATAGTATAGATTCAACCTCACCAAAGTTATAATAATAATCTCCATGAAATCATCAGATTGATTCTCTAACTTCCATTGGTTCTCTAAGAATCTACCAATCAATCATCTAATTCCCAGAAATGTAAAATAGATCTTAAGGGAAAGAGACCTGTAAGAGATCGTGAATTGCTTCTTCCTCCGGAGATTTTTTTCCCTGCGATCTCGGGTTCCGATTTGGCGCTTGATTTTCCGCTTCTAAAATCTCAGTTTCTTTCTTAATTTTTCAATCGGAGATTCGTCAGAATTTCTCCAGATCTCGTTCAAATTCTCACCACCGAAGCATATACAATCGAGGCTTTTGTTTGTTAAATCTCTCTTCTCTTCGCTCTGTTTCTCTAGCTCCCCGATTCAACCTCGAAAACAATCGGAGATTCTCGTCGTGAAATTGTTTGCGATTCCGGATTTAGGGATTGGAAACGAGCTTAGCTTCTTCCTCCCGAGATTTCCCGCTTGATTTTTCCGGTTGTGTTTTTGAATTTCTTTCTTTATTTCTCACTATGCCTCACAGATGAATCCTCAAAATTCCTTGTATTATATGTACGAAATGGGCTTGGGCTGAGATCTCACAATGATATTGGGCCGAAAACAACCCATAACTAAAATGTTTTACAAATTAAAAACAGTTTTATAACCTTGGAGAAAGCTATATTGTACTATGTAGTAACTACTAACTACTTTATAATTTGGTATCAAGTACTGTAATAACTGTTTAATTAGTGGTATGTTAATTTTAGCAAGTTGTTGTGTATGGGGTTAGAAATTAGGACATATAATCTCACAGTAATAAGAGAATAATCTCACAATTCCTTGTATAATAAGAAAACACTTATTACTAAATCCAATAGTAGGATAAAATTATTGAGAAATTATTACGGTTTATTGACTTTATTCACATCCAAGGAGAGAATCTCTTATTCGGTTTTTTATTGCATTTTTATTTATATAGAGAAACTAGAAAAAAAAATATCCATGATTTCAAGAGTTGTAAGAATGAGAACTGAACCAAATTGCAC